CCGAACTGAGTTGTCACAGAAAGAGTAGACATGTTTTGGGAAAACAGTTATTAATGGTGTCTCTTGGTGTTTAAGGACCTGAAGCCCAAGAAAACATGCATTTCTTCTTTTCACCAACTTCTCTTTCAGGTCTCTCAGTTTCATGATGTTTATCACACTTGTATTCAGGTTTTCTTTAGCTTTTATTGTATTGTTGAGCCAGAAATTTAACCAAAAGAGCCTGATTGGTGAACTGCTGTTGGGATCAATTAATGTGAGGAGAAGATCTGAGAGCTGGAAAAAGCTTCACCACTCTGGACACCACAGGGATCAGAACCAGTGAGAAGCTGGTAATGTTCCAAATCAACAACCACCAATTTATTTTGACTGTGTTGTTCCAGTGGTATGAAGATGGAGAGGCTTGTAAACCTTGATAGCAAACAACTCCATCTCAAGAAGTAATGAAGTTACAGTTGTGTATGACTATTATCTAACATACAAATTATTTTTTGCTTTTCTTATTAAATACTGTAAATAGATATTAAATATCTCTAAATTCATTATATTTCTCCATTATTTCCTTTGGTTCAAATGTAATAATTATCAAAAGAGACTACCAAGAAGATGCAACCCTACTGAAAGGAATGGAATTTATCTGACACGCATACCCCCCACTTCCCCATCAAACAGTGCAAGAGTGTTTCACCACTGCACTCTTATTAGAAGGACTAAAAATTAATCTTAGGAACAGCTTCTCTGCAATGAAGCAGCTTTCAGTCATTCCAAACATTTTTTTTACTATGTTTGTTTGCAAAATGATAACCAGGTCAAGCCAAGTTAATAATAACTAACAAGGAAGAGAACCCTCTATCATTTAGGAGACAGAAATGGAGTTGATCTTCTCTTCCATTCCCATCTGCCATCTGCCACTTCCAAGGAGAATGAAAGAAAGCCCAAGCACCAACAGGAGGCCTGATTACCTGATGCAATTTCTGTGTCTATTGTTTCTCCCACTGTTGCTGCCTGCGCTGCCTCAAGACCTCATGAAAATGCAATGGACAGGAACATGGAAGTTATTTCCTGCTCTGCTGCTGTTTGTGTTGCTGCTGCCTAGATGGGATGAGTTCTTGAAAACTGGGATATTTTCCTGGTTTAGGGGGATATGTCTGGAATCCAGGATGCCTCCTCTAAAATTAGGACAGTCCTGGTAAAAGTGGGGTGTGAGGTCACTTTACTCATTGGTCCAGTTCCCATGTCCTTCTGAACTGATGGAAGAGGTAGTCCAAAACAGGGGACAATTGACCCCATCAACCAGATTGTCAGATTTAACCCTATGCAGAGCCAGTCTACCATAAACAGAAGTCAATGAAGTAACCTATCCATAACAGCATCATGCAAATTACACAGATTATGCAGTTTGTCAGTCTTGTCATGATACAAATGTCATCCAATACATCTTTATGCCATTTGTGCAATGGTAATATGATGCATATGGGGTCACTTGCCCACCCTGTGTATCCTCATGTCTGCATAATATATTTGGGAACTGCAAACCAAGGGATTATGTCTCCAGAGATCAAGGTAAGTCCTACACAGGTCCTGAGAAAATGAGGCACTTCAAGGTACTGCTGTTGTTTTAATTCTCATCCTAGTGTTGGGAAAAATACATGCTTGTGGTGTCTGAATATATGAATGTTTCTGAGAGTGAAAATCTAGCGAGCAACAATTAGTGAATCAGGTTTATGACTTTAACAGAAAGGTTTATTTAAGGAAATGCATTGGGGGAGGGAAACAGGAGAGTCAGCAAGCCTGTGCACGTGTGCACGCGCGCACACATACACACACAAAAAAGCTCCTCTGTGCATTCATGCTTTGGAAACAAAGGCAGAAAGAAAACCCTGAGATTAGCAATCTCACAGACAAAGACCAGACAGAGTGAGAGACAAAGAGAGAACACAGAGTAAATCTCTAACTCTCTATCTATATGGACTTCTTCTGGTCAATAGGAGCTGAGGTGCTGAAAGTCGGTACCACTGAAGTCACATTTTTCATATCTGTCCTTTCTCCCCTCCCCCAATGCCACACAAAGGCACATAATGAGCAGAATTGGGTGGCAAGTGAGCCCACTCCCAAACCTGTTTGCAGTGTTGCTGACCCCAAGCACACCCCTGCAGACTCCTCCCCCCCCCCGGCTTGTATAAAAAAAGAAAAGAAAATGAGGCATGGTGAAGGAGTATTGTGGCTGTTGCAGACAGCACAAATCCAGCCTAGCTTCATTGCCTGTTGCTGGCATACAGTGGTGAGATCACTGGGCCAGAAAGGAAATGACCACTTTATTCATTTCATTCTGAATCTTTAAACAGTGCAACAAAAGGAATTGGGCTTAGCAGAGCTACTTAGAAGAAAAGAGGAAATAAAAAGTGAAAGTGACCTCCACCTATGTTCTCACTTACTGGCTGGATGAAACATCATACTAAGACTTGTCTGGTTTAACCAAGGTTTCTTGAATAATTAGGAATATATAAACCAAACGTGTGTGATTTTCACTTTCATTTTTTTATAGACTCTGAAGCGGTATATTCAGAGATATGTTGCCATCACTGGTAGGAAGCAGGATTTTTATATTTTTTAGATTTAGACTGGGGTGAAATACAAAATAGGTGCCTTGGGCTTCATTGAAGCTTTTGTTACTGAATTGGAACATCATGATTGGGTTTGATCTAGGACAGAGACACAAAAGTGGAAGTGTGAGGCCCTCCTGATGTAAACCATGATTTAAAAACTACAGTGGCTTAGTATAATCTTGAGGCTGGGCCAAAGCCAAAGAAATAATGATGGGTAAGAGAGATGTATGAGCCTATCCTGTGTACACTGTGAAAATGAGCAAGAGAGGGAGTAGCCAGGCAAATCCAGTTGCTTCTTAGAAAAGCAAGGACACCATCTCTATCTGCTCCCTCCCTCATTCATTGATAGGTGTAGGTGAGCTTGACCCCATGACTACCTCATTTTAGAGACAGGGCAGATAACAGAAGGGAGGAGATGGGTGTTCTATGATGGGTCTCTATGCTGTTTAAGTCTTCCTAAATAACCAATTATAATTGATTAAGGGACTCCCACTAAAGGGACTCAGTTCTAACCTCAGTTTCTGGACCCACATGGGCAGACTGGGGGCTATCAGGACTGGCTTTGTTTCCAATTTTATAGGCAAGGGTCATGAGGTATGATGTGTACATTGGATTACTGCTATGTAGCATTTTTTTCCTCCAACATAATAGAATTTAGCTGGATTTGCCTGTGCCTCTTAGTCAATTAGATTCAGGACTTATTACCAATTGTTGCCCCTGCTCTGCCTCCAGTGGGTCTTGCCAATGCTCTGAGAAGGGGACCTGGATTCACAAAAATGCCTGACCAAATGAGTTAAAGACCTAGAGCTGTATTTGCCCATCACTCTAAATCTGGTGTGAATATTAATTCCCATGGGTGGAGGGAGATTAGAATGCAGCCCATTTGGTTAGTGTCAAGATCTAATATACTATATGCCAGCAAATGGGACTAATTCATTTAAGCAGATTGTGTGAACTCAAGCAAAGGATGGGAACAGCCACTGCCTTGCATGTTGCCCTGTTTTTCTCCACCAAAGAGCCAAACTCAGAGATGGGGGTAGAGAAGGACGTTCTGGGGGTTTCTTGCCCAGGTCCTCTTCATTGTTTCTCCTGCTGTGTAGGAGAGAGATCGCTACTTACTGGCTGAGTTCATATAACTCAGTATACATGAGACCTGTGTCACAACACACAATTCTTGTGTTCATATAATATTGAAACAATTAAACCATATGGTGCCTGAATGTTAAATTGCCCAGCCCTATTTTAACCTAGCCTGGAACATTGGACAAAATGACCCATATAGATTGCTCTTTCTGTGGCTTTTTCTTCAGAATGAATAAGTAGGCTGGTGATTTTGGGGTTACTGGTTTTCTTCAATAAACTGCTTTTGTGTCAAGATGGACATGACATTGTTAGATTGAGAGATGATTAAACCCGAGTGGTTCTGCCAAGCTTTTCTTTTTGTAAGAGAGGTATATAAACTGGAAGTTACACTTCCTGCCTTGAATTCTACCTTCAGAATTAAACTGTACAAAACTGAATATATAATTCAATGCTGCATTCAAAATATGAGCTTACACAAAACCTAGATTCCCTGAAGATGCAGTACATCAATCTTCCCCATCCAGAGGCATTGGAACAAAAATGGACAAATGACAAGATGTAGTCTGTGCGGGTTTAATGGTGATGTGGGGTGTATTTTGAATTTTCAAGCACCACAAACATTTTGGTGCGGCCTTTGCGAAGGCAAGGCAAGAGCTGGGAATGACTCAGATCTCTTCTATGCCTATGGAGAAAGTAAGATGCTGTTGGCTTTGAACAGATTTCCTTAACACTCTGAGGATTCAAGCGGGAGGAGGGGCAAGGAGGCATTTGTACGCCACCGAGGGCGGAGAAAAGGGTCTCTTCCCCTTCCCTTCCCACTCCGCGCGGGTCTCTCTTGGG